CCCCTCTCTAACTTTTTCTTGCTAACTCCCCTTTGGGAGGGGCCCACTAGCTCTCCATGACAACCGGGCAGCCAATCAGGTTGTCTTCTCTAAAGAAATTTCTAGTCCGATTATGTCATGCAGTCTGTGGACTGAGCATGCGTCTGGTCAGATTACTTCATCTGCTGAGCAGAATTCAGCATGAGTGTTCTTACAAAACTAGGTCAGCTTTGATTGACAAGCCAAGGGTCGCATAGGGGGCACATGCTGAGCATGCTGTGGAATTTTCCATAGGCCTTGTCTGCTTGTCTGCTCATGATCAAACTTAACTCTTGTGTTGCCAGCATACACTTAAAATTTTGTCCAGACAACATGGAACTATCTTAAGGGCTTTTCTACCCTGGCTTTACACAACACAGGAATGAAGAACAAAACATTTTAAAGGATTTAAATGCAGTAGGAATCCAAGGCCCTTTCCCTAGATTCATAGATTGTAGAGTTGGAAGGGACCCCAAAGGATCATCGTGTCCAACTCCCTGCCCCAGACAACCCCAGCCAGGTGCCTATCTAGCCTCCTCTTGAAGACCTCCAAGTTAGGGGATAGTACCACCTCTCTTGGCCACCCATTCAGATTCTGGCCACCCTTACTGTGAAAAATTTCTTCCTAATATCTAACCTAAATCTACTATCCACTAGTTTGCACCCATTATTCTTAGTTATTCCTAGGGGTGCCCTAGTAAATAGCACATCTCCAATTTTCTGTTGTCCTCCCTTGATAAACTTATAGGCTGCTACAAAGTCTCCCCTCAGACGTCTCTTGTGAAGGCTGAAGAGATCCAGATCCCTCAACCTCCCCTCATAGGGTCATGCACGGAGGCCACTAATCATACAAGTGGCCCTCCTCTGGACCCTCTCCAGATTCTCTGCATCCCTCTTGAAGTGTGGTGCCCAAAACTGGACACAGAACTCCAACTGCAGCCTGACCAATGCTACATAGAGGGGGAGCATCACTTCCCTCGATCTGTTGGTCATGCACCTGTTAATGCACAATAAGGTGCGATTGGCTTTGTTGATAGCTTCGTTACACTGCCGGCTCATGCTCATCTTGGAGTCAACTATGACTCCAAGATCCCTATTTCTTTTCAGCAATAAATTAGTATAGAAAGCCAAAGCCACTGTATTTTGTGATCTTGTACTCCTGCATAGGACAACCTAGGAGTGGCTTTGGACTGTGAATACTACATTTATAGGGTTGCCAGCCCTTCCGGATTGGCCGGGAGTCTACTGGAATTGGCATCGATCTCCCAGAGACTATTGAAAGCAATCTGGGAGATTGATATTGTGAATGGGTTGAACAGTACAATTAATGACTAGAGTTGCATACATCAGTCCCAAATCGGATCAGCACCGATATAAGGAAAATAAACACCATAGCCAATCAACTTCTTTTTGGCTGATGTGGCCAATAATGTCACTGATAAATGCCCTGTGTATGTGTGCAGCTGCAGCACAGCATGCAGGTGGCCAGGAGTGCAGCCTGGAAGTATGGAGAGCAGCTGAGTCCAGCTGGTAAGTCTGTTGTGGGGGAAGGGACGTGGGGGTGTGCAGATCAAGGTTTCAGCAGTGAGGGAGGCAGTGGGCTTGGGCCTGGGACAGGCACTGCACAGCCAGGGTGGGGTGTGGGATGGAGTCGCAAGCAGCTCATTCAGGCAGCTCCCATTGCTGCACACACCATAGGAGGAAGGGCATAGGGGTGTGTACTCCAGGATCTGCACATGGGGTGGAAGCAGGCTACCACTCTGGGCTGGGGTTGGAGGTGGTGCCAGGTTCTTCCCAGTGGGGGGGCTGGGCCGGGCCTGCATTCAGGGTTGGCAGTGGCAGTGCTGAGAGGGAGGGCTATGGTGAATTTTGGGGTGGCTGCAGCTCCCCCCCTCCACCCATAGCCCCTTTTCCAGTGCCACCACCACCCAAACTGAGCACAGCCCTGGCCCAGCCCCCTTCTGGAAAGAGCCCAGTCCTTGGCTCCAGCCCTCAACAGCAGACCACCCTTTCCCTGTGTACAGATATGGGAGCATGCACCCCCCCATGCCCTCCCGGGGTCTGTGCAGTGGCAGAAGCTGCCCCTCCTCCCCACGCCCCCCAGACAAGCTGCTTGCGGCTTCATCCCACACCCTTCCCTGACTGTGTAACACCTACCTTTGCCCCTACCCCTGCCCCAGTCCCTCCCTC